GTCCAGCTTACATCATCCGACTGGAAAACTAAAGCTGAGCACATGTTTACACTAGGTGTCAGCACTGCTGGGCCCAGATCAGCTGCAGATCAGAGCAGAGCTTTCGATAGAAATTGTCAACAAGTGGGCTCAAGATTGTGGAGCGTTTCCTGGAAGAATTGTAATAGCGATGAGACATCACTGTACTAGAAAGATCCTGAAGACAAAACAAGAAGTGATGGCTACAAAGAGATGGAAGAGATCCAGTCAGCAAAAGTGACGCAGCAAAGGTTATGGTAACGGTTTTTTGGGATGCTTGAGCATTTTGTTTGTTGACTCTTTGAAGAGCAAAGACCAATTATATCTGCTTATTATAAGAGTGTTTTGAGAAAGTTAAAGCTTGAGCAGAAAAAAGGCCGGGAAAGCTTCACCGGAGAGCCCCTCGCAACAATGCTCCTACTCAGTCCTCTCATCAAACAAGCCATTTTGCAAGAACTTCTATGAGAGATCTTTAGGCACCAACCTTACCCACCTTGTAGTCCTGCTTTGGCTCCTCTGACATCAGTTTCTTTCTTAATCTTAAAACAAATGGTGAGGGCCCCTATTTTCCTTCTGTTAATAATGTTAAAAAGACTGCATTGAGATGGTTAAATTCCCAGGACCCTCAGTGCAGTGGGAATGGATTAAATGACAAAACGTCTTGGCCTTGATGCAGCTAATGTTGAGAAAGAAAACTTATATTCTATCTTTCTCCGAATTTTTGAAATCCCCGACATATATAACTCCTCTAGTTTTAGTGCAGACATGCCTTGTTGGTCAGGCTTCCACGTGTGGTGCTGTACGGGCACCACGTTTCTGCAGATGGAAGGTTTGTCCCACGCACGTCTGTGGGCACTGTTTTTCCCAGAGCATGTGTTGTCTTCCTGTCTCTGTGTCCCTTTGGGTAATTCTCAAAGTATTTCAAGCTTTTTCATAATGTTACTGCACACTTAGTAGATCACAATATAGTATAAATGTAAGTTTCATATGCCCTGGGCAACCAAACAAATTGTGGGAAACATTTTATTGTGCTATCGGCCACGTCGGGTGATCTGGATCTGAGCGTGCAGTTACGTGGTTCTCCCGGTGAGCCGCTCAGCCCTAACACCAATGGCACATTTCTGCTTTCCCTGCACTATGACATTTTAAAACTTTTACGACCCTCCCAGGACTGAGCTGGTGAAAGAGAGGGTTCTCATTTTTCTCATAGTCATATCATATGTAGCGGTCTTTTGATGAACCTGCTTGTTGTGGAAATTGATTCTGATTTGGTGCTTCTGAGACATCATTCTCAGATATAGTGCCTAGATATTATTTGATACTGAGATAGTTTTCATGACTTTACTGAGATATATTTCATATATCAAAAAGTTCATGGAAAAGGGGACTGAAAGATAATGGCATTTTTCCACCAACTTTTTTGAAGGTCCCTCATACAATTGGCCCATTGACAGGAAATGTTTTTTGGTTCATTCACAGAGTTGTGCAGCCCGCCGTCACGCCAGTCCTCACTCCAGAAAGAGACCCTGTACTCATTTGCAGTCACTTCCCATTCCCCCAGCACCCTAACATCTCATTTCAGTCACCTTAGAACTGCCTATTTCGACATTTCAATACATGGAATCGTGATACATGATCTTTTGTGACTATTTCAAGGCTTGTCAATAAAGGATTATTTTAATATGCAATAATTTTACAGGATTTAAGGGCAACAAAGTAAACCTTTGACCTATTAGTAGAGAGCACTGTAATTTGGAACTATGTGCTAACTTGTACATTTTACTATTTCTTAGAACACGAATGTGATGTGTATTCACAAGTCACTATAGATGTTACAGAGGATAATGACAATTAAGAATTTAAAAAAATTTTTTTTAATGCAAGACATAACATGTCCTTTAGATTTTATAGTTTTCTTCCCAGTGAATTCTGGTATTAATTTTTGAAGGATTTACGGGGTAAAGGCACTTGTTTATGGTAGGCAATTTAATTATGAAAGGAGATTCAAATTTTATCAGTCTTTTGTCTCCTTGTTCTGTCTTTATAGATATTTTGAAGACTTTGAGAGAAGAATCCCTCGTGAAGAGATGTTACAGATGCAGGTAAGAGTGCACTGGATTATGGTCCCTGATGAGAGCTGAAGAAGTCACCTGAGGAAAACTGATTTTGGAACGCTGATTCCCTTTTTCCTTCCGTTAGGATATTGTGCTGAATGAAGTTCAAAAGGTGGATTCTGAATATATCGCTACAGTCTGTGGCAGTTTTAGAAGAGGTAAAGTACTTCTAATTTTACGTTATTTGTGTCTTGATTTTAAAATGGCCTAATGTGCAGTAGTCTGTCTCCCCCTTTTCTGTGTTTCCCCCCCCAAAGTTTCAGTCACCCTCAGTCAGCCACGCCCTCAAAATAGTAGCCTAACTCGAATCACAGCGCCTCCCTCATTCACTTTCTTGCTTGTACTATTATTATAGTATAATTGTAATAATTGTTGTGTTTGTGATTTTATAACTGTTCTATTTTATTCTTAGTTATTACTGTGCCTAATTTGCAAATTAAGCTATTTTATACTTGTAGGCTAAGACACAGTATATGTCGGGTTTGGTATTTGTGGCTTCAGGCATTCAGCGGGGATGGGGGGTATCTTGTCATGTGTCCCCTATTGATAAGGGAGACTACTATATAGGGAAATATGGAATAGAAATGTAATTTGTGCTACTGTTTCATAAACCCACTAATCATATTAGCTAAATATTAGCTAAATATTAATCATATTAGCTAAAGAGTTTATTTGATTAAAGTGGTAATATGTTGTTACAAAATAGGGAAAATTCATCCTGATTTTATTATAGGATGTTACTTTGTTGACTATAACAAAATTTATACAATTATTTTAGGTGTATCAAAATACTGCTAGTCTTTGACTAACTTCTAGTTTGACTAACTTCTAGTTAGTCTTTGACTAACTTCTAGTGACGTTATGAAGCGTTTCAGTTTTCGCTGGTCTCTGTTCTCCAAGTTTCCTGTAAAGGATCTAAGAATAATGTCTCAAAAGCACCAGTTCTTACGGGGTCTCCACTTCCCGTGGGAAGGCAGGGAAAGGGGAACCACATCATTCGGGTCTCTTACCCAGAATTTTGGAAGGGTAGTATAAGTTTAAATACATTTATTTATACAATTGAAGTAGAAGTCTTTCTTAAACTTTTTTTAGCGCAGGCACTTGTGAATTTCTGGGGCACCTATGAAGGTGTGCCAAGGAAGTAGGTTGTAGGCAATCAGAAGTAGTCCATATTCTATCATCGGAGAAAAGAAAGAACTAAAGCCTCAATTCTTGCCATGTGTAAAAGACAATGAGTCAAAAACGTGCGTTCTACAGCCGAATCTTCCGCTGCCTCCTTTTAGGTAAGCCTGTCTGTGTAGCCCCTAAAACCACGTCAGACTCGCTGCCGTCTAGTCCGTTCTGACCCACAGCGGTCCTGCGGGATAGCGTTGAGCTTTTCCCACGGTTTCTGAGGCTGTACACTCTGGAAGCAGACTGCCACGTCTTTCTCGAGCAGCTAGTGTTCAAACCACACTGACTCTTCAGTTAGCAGCTGGATGCTTTAACCACTGTGCCACCAGCCTTCCTTCTAGATCCTACTGTGGATTTTTTTAGATATAAAAAGAATAAAAAGATGAGCCTCAAATCTGGGAGTAAATATTTGCAAAACACATGTCTGATAAAGTTCTTGTATCCAAATATACAAAGAAAGCTTAAACCTCATCAGTAAGAAAACAAGCAACCCAACTTAAAAGTGAACCAGACACCTGTTAGAGGAAAGAAGCGTACGAGAAGGTGCTCAACATTACATGCTCTTGAGGAATTGCGGATATAACCGGTTGAGATAATTGAGTGACTAAAATTGAAAACACGGATCACGCTAAATGCTGACAGAGGTGTGGAGCATCAGAAACTCTTTGTGTGTGTGTTGTGTTTGTGTGTGTTTTTTTATTTTTAATCATTTTATTGGGGGCTTATAACAATTCATACATCAATTGTATCAATCACATTTATGCATATGTTACCATCATCATTTTCAAAGCCTTTTCTTTCTACTTGACCGCTTGGTATCAGCTCCTCTTTTTTTCCCTCCCTCCCCCACCCTTCCACCCTCGTTAACCCTTAATAAATTATAAATGATTGTTATTTTCATATCTTACACCGTCTGTTGTCACCCTTCACCCACATTTCTGTTGTTTATCCCCTTGCAGTGGCGAGGGGGGGTGGTTACTTTGATCATTGTGATTGGTTCTCCCTTTCTCCCCCTTCTCCCCCACCTTCCCCCTACTTTCATGGTATCACTACTCCCATTACTGTTCCTAAGGGGTTTATCTGCCCTGGATTCTGAGTGTCAAGAGCTCTTATCTGTACTTGCTCTGGTCTAGCCAGATTTATAAGGTAGAACTGGGTCATGATAGTGGGGGCGAGAAAGCATTTAAGAACTAAAGGAATGTTGTGTGTTTCTTCGGTGCTATACTGCGCCCTGGCTGACTCGCATCTTCCTTTTGACCCTTCTGTGAGGGGATGTCCAGTTGTCTACAGATGGGTTTTAGGTCTCCATTCCAACCTCCCTCATTCACATCAAAATGGTTGTTTGTTTTGGATCTTCTGATGTCTGATACCTGATCATGTCAACACCTCATGATCACACAGGCTGGTGTGCTATTTCCATGTGGACTTTGTTGCTTCCCTGCTAGATGACTGCTTGTTTAACTTCAAGCCTTTCAGACTTCAGATGCTATATCTTTTGATAGCCAGGTACCATCAGCTTTCTTCACCACTTTTGCTTATGCACCCATTTTGTCTTCAGTGATTAGTGTGAGCATCACAGAATGCCAGATTGTTAAAGTGTTCTTGTGTTGAGGGACTACTTGAGTAGAGGCCAAATGTCCGTCTGCTACCTTAATACTTAACTTATAAAGATATTTACATAGACCTATATCGCTATCATTATATATTAATATACTTACATATGTGCATGCCTATATTTATACCTTTATAAATATCTTTTGCCTACTAATTCTTTCCTCTATTTCCTTTTACTTTCCTCCTTTCCTGCTATCATGTTCGACCTTCATTCATCTCTCTGTACTTCCTCTCGGCTACATTGCACTTGATCACGCTCCACCAGGTGTTCTATGCCCACCTCGCCATTGATTTTAGATCTCTTGTTGTTCCTTTATCCCTGAGTTTCTTGGCTCCCCACTCCCATTCCCCCACCTCCTCCTCTCCTATGTGCCCTGGAAGCTCCGGTCCTGATGTTTTCTCCTCCAGATTGTTTGTCCTGCCTATCTTATATAGCTAGACATAGGAAAAGGGTTTTTTTGAACACCTATAAATAGCTCCAGGCCTGTCTGCTGACCCTTGTGAATGTTTGCCCATCGGTTCTGATGAGGTGCCAAGCCCGGCCCCGAGTCGGAAGTCTGTTCTCAGGGTTCCTCGGGGACTTCTTTGCTGCTCTGTCGCACTCCCTTCATGTGTTGCCACCGTGTGTGTGTGGGGGGGTGGTGAGACAGACCAGGCATAATTCCCACACTGGAGCACCAGAAACTCTTACCTATTGCAGGGGGAAAATGCAAAAAGGTAGAGCCACTTTGGAAGATAGTTTGGCGGTTTCTTTCAAAATCATGCATAGTCTTACCAAATGATCCAGCAACCGTTTATGCAGACAGATAAAAAATTTTCACACAAAAACTTGCACACAAAGTTTAGATCAGCTTGATTCATAATTGCCTCTGATTGGTGAATGCATAGTATAACACTAGTACCCCTATCTGATAGCATTTAGCAATAAAAAAAATCAACTATTGAGCCACAAAAAAGACCCCAGTACGTAGTAGAGGAATCGTAAATGCACATTGATATGGGAAGTAGCCAGCATACTACATACTGTGGGATTCCTACAACATGACATTCTGGAAAAGGCAAAGCTTACATAGAGGCTGTAAACATAGCACAAATAGGAGTGGGGGAGGGTTGACTTAAGTGGAACATACAGGGCTTTTAGGAAAGTGGAACTATTCTATAGGATACTGTCATGGAGGGCATCTGACATGTATTTATCCAAACTGTAACTTCATGGCATCATGCAGGCTTAACCTACAAGCCTTGTTTCATGGCCACCCTGTGTGTGCAGAGTACAGCTGCCCCTTAAGGTCTGCAAGGCTGTGACTTGTTGGAAGCAGGTTGTCAGGTCTCTACTGAGGTGGGTTTGCACAGCCAATCTTTGGAATGGTAGTTCAGCGCCTAACTGTTTGTACCACTCAGGGGCTCCAGTGTAAACTTGGGGCTTTAATTAATGTTGATGATCAGGATTGGTTCGTATATAACAAAAGCAGCACACTAATGTAAGGTTAGTTAACGAGACTAAGGTGAGGGCAGGAGCGGAGAGAAGGTATATGGGGACTCTCTGTAGTTTCTGCTCAATCTTTTTGGAAAATTCAAAGTACTGTAAGACATAAAGGAGGAGCCCCGTTGCGGAGTGGTGGAGCACTGTGCTGTTTGCTCCACCAGCTGCTCCTGAGCAGAAAGACGAGACTTTCTGTTTTCATGTAGATTATAGCCCTAAAAACCCACAGGGGCAAGTCTACCCTGCCCTGTAAGGTCGCTATGAGTCAGGATTGGCTCAGTGGCAGTGAGTTTGGTGTTTAAGACATAAAAGTCTATTAATGAAATAAACAAATAAAGGGGATTTTTATTATGCCGGCTATGTGCCAGGTACTATGCTAGGTATAATGGTACGTGCCGTTCTTACATTATTCTTAGTTAGACATATAATGGCATATGACGTTGTTTTTGGACATTTGGAGACAAGGAAACGGAGATGTAGGGTTACATAGCATTCCCCTGTGCAGTAACGGGAGGGAGAGGAAGCACTCCAAATGAAATCATCCACCCAAGGAAAACAGTGTCTCCGTGTCGGCGCTTCACCATGTCGGTGGGGAAATCCAGTAGGAGAACTGTCTGTGGGGAAAATGGAATGAAAAGATCATGGGATTTTCCCACAAACTTTTGAAGCCCCCTCATACATAGTAAAGGACAGGTTTGATCAGCTGTGGAAAACCTGCCTGAAGTTGTGCTGTGGTAGAGAAAGCCACACCAGAGCCCAGTGTCATTACCGCTCCTGGGTCCTCATCCACCATACCAGAATAGTCATTCTTACTAATAGGTATCAAAGGGTCGAAGTAAGTTTCCCAGTTAACCTTTGCTGAGTTAAAGTGTATCATTTGATTTGAGATGTTGAGACGTGATTGTTCAGAGCTGTGTTTGAGAGCAGGTTGGCATATTGTCTTTATTGAGCATTGAGTCCATAGGTGTAGATCTAATGCCTTAAATTAATCCATTGTATGCAATGTGTATCTAATGCCACTTACTGTTGTTATCCCAGATTCTGCTGTCTACATCTGTGCACCTGAATAGTTGGACAGAAAATTGAAATCTTTTATCTAGTTCTGAATGTGAAGCACAGTGAAATAGACAGTTAGGCTGTAAGAAGGAAGGCTCTCCTGTGTGTGTCACCAGCTCAGCCCTGTGGTAGCCTAAGGCAGTAGTTCTCAACCTTTCTAATGCCACGACCCTTTAATATAGTTCCTCATTGTGGTGACCCCCAACCATAACATCATTTTCGTTGCTACTTCATCAGTGTCATTTTGCTACTGTTATGTATCGGGCGACCCCTGTGAAAGGGTTGTTCGACCCCCCCCCCCCCAAGGGGCCGCGACCCACAGGTTGAGAACCGCTGGCCTAAGGGACACGTCCACACAGGGTATTTCCTGCACGCACGTTGTCTTTGCAGGCGCAGAGTCCAGCGGCGACATGGATGTTCTCCTGACCCATCCAAGCTTTACCTCTGAGTCAGCCAAGCAGGTGCCTGCATACCTGTGATCTCATGTCATCAGCCCCTCACAACACCGAGGACCACCTTGCAAATGGCCACCGGATCTTTTCAGAATGAGCTTTTGCATAAATCTTTCTGAAAACTCCGTTGAAATATTTTGTACTGGTTGAATTCTGTGCAAGGCAAAGTAAGTTGCTCTAAGAGATATTGAGAGACAGCTCTGACCTTTGAAAGGTAGGACTCTTAGTCAGCTGTTTACAGAATCACAGGTATTTTGGAAATACTCAATCCAATATTCAGGTTTTCATTAAAGGAACATTTCCTAGTAAGACATTAGAGAAGTATGAAGATTTACCTCTCTTCAGTCGCTCACAAGGGCAAACTCATTGTGGTTTGGAAATGTATATTTTCACTTACCATACCGCCCAGCTAACTGAACAAAACCGATAGATGCAATTGATGGTTATTTTGAGATATGCTAGTAGTGATCACTGTGGGGTCTGAAGCTAGAAATCTCATTTGATGAGGTGAACCTTCTGTAAGAGGGAAAAGACCATTACCCAGAACACAGGAAAACTAGCCATGAGCCGTGGGCCATCTGAGGAATCGGGTTAAAAATGTTCTCTGCCTCAGTGGAGTAATTGTTTTTTTTCTTTAATTGCCCCATTCTAATTCTGCAGCCCAAACTGTTGCATCGAGTTGTGGAGCAACTACAAAAGGCCCATTTTATCACAGACACTCTGTCCAAGGGTGAGACGAAGTTCATGGTAAGTGCTTGTCTGGCGCATTTGAAGAAAAACTTAGAGGCTGTTCAGTAACCATTTGGAGTGTGTGACCTCACCGTACTTTAGGATTACAGTCAACAAATCCAGTCTCTCTCAGGCCATAGAGGGCAAAGAATTAGCAGGGTCCTGCAGAATATTCTAATAAGGTTCTTTGTTTTAAATCCCCAGTTTGTCAACAGTCTATTCCATCAGAATAATTAGGCATAATCTGCTGCTTTCAAAGAGCTGTCACAACTCTGGCCCCCAGGGAGCTTATCCCTGACATAGGTCCGGTGCTCATGTTCCCAGACTGAGACCGCTTCCCCACGTGGACCCCACCTATGGCTGCTCCAGAGGAAAAGTGTCAGGGGGATAGAACACACGGAGAAGAAAGGGGGTCCATGGCATGAGAAGAGGGCCTCACTAGAGGGGACTGCCAGGGATTTCCACGGGAAAACCTGTCTTGACAGACTGTCAAAGTCCCACAATCTTCCCTGGCAATTGCCATGGAAATATTGAAGGCAAGTGACAAGTGGAACAGGACAGTGAGTGGAAAGTGCCAGAGGATGGTGATGTGAAAGGACAGAACTGGGGCGGAGTGCCAAGAAAGCCGATGTGTGCTGTGTTTCTGCTACATCCTGAGGAGTGTGGCAGAGGAATTGGGAGGCAATTGGCAATTAGCTAATAATAAATCATCTGAAGTGGTTGTGGTGATGCTTGCACAACTGTTTTATTTATTAAATTGTAAGGAACATGGATTATATGCCAATAAAACTTAAACACCGCAACAAAAAAGTACCACATTGTAGGGCACAGTTCTAGGAGCTTGGGGGACACAGTTCAGTGAATTTAGGTCAATGTCTATTTGGGGAGTATGGGACGGGACTGATAGTGCAGTGGGCATCGTAAATAGGTAGAGTACATAGGAGGCAAAGATAATAAAAGCAGGCTGCATGTGGAGAGGCAGGTGGCAGAGAGACCATTCAATAAGGTGGTCAGAGGAGACTGACTGAGGTGCGACGACAGAAAAGATTTAAGTGTGTGTCTGAATTGAGTTCATCGCCATGACGTTTGGTGGCGAGTGGGGACAGGGAGAGAGAGGTGCAGGCAGTGGGATTCAGAGTGAAGACCTTATTTCTGAAGGAAATTATTTGTAAAATGAACTCAACTTAGCAAGTGGAATAAGCCACTTTCATTCCACATCTCCATGACCCCAAGACCTCTCTCGTTGCTGTAAACACTGAGGAAATAGCTTTAAAGTACAGTCACCCATGTGTTTTAAAAACATGCATAAAACAAACTGATCATAAAAACATGCATAAAAAACTTGCAGAAGTAAGTTCATAGCAATCAAAACTATGAAAGCCAGGGTTTTTCCAGATCTTCTTGTAAATCAAAGTCTTTAGATAATTGAGCTGTTCTTCCTGTCAATATACATTTGGAAGAAAAACAATTTCCAGTGTTTTTAGATGGCTGATAGTTTTATGTATGATGACTGCCTTTAAGGTTTTAGTATCAGGTGCAGGTTTGGCCTGAGGTGGTTGTTTCTGTGAACTGTCTGCAGGAAGGATTGGGGGACAGTAGTCGTTAGCTTGACTCCCTGAGGAAATGAAAGGGGATTTATTTCAGACACTCAACACGAAACAGCCTAATTGAAATGCCTAACAGAGCTAATCCACTCCTCTGACAAAGGATTTATAGTAATAGAGAAAAAGTCTTTTTTTAGCACTTCAGAAAAAGTGCAGGAAGTAAAATTAGCCTTGAGGCAAGGAGCAAAGCCATTAAATGAATCCCGTTACTGCTGTGGCAAATGGCGCGATTGTTGCCTGTGGTAACCAAGCAGCATGTCCACGGTGATCCCTCCAGGTAAGACCAGGTGGACATCTTTCCAGATCCATTTGAAGGTGGAAGTTAAGTTAGAACTTGTTAATGCCCCAAAAGGTGTGTTTCATATTTTGAAAATAAATTTCATTAATCCTTCAGCCATCCAAACCGTTAAAATGCTCATCTTCAATTTCAACTCTTCTCTTTGTAGTTGTGTGCCGTGGCGTTGATTCAAGGCCAGGCTGCTCCAACTGCCAAGCTTTGGCTTGACAGTCAAGTGCTGGCCACTTGCTGAGCCGCCGATAGGTAGAGTAAACAGATACCGCAAAGTACACAGGAAAGACTCTCACCGGAAGCCGGTCCTTTATCCCTCAGGTGGTTGATGGTAGGGGCCGTGGAGTGGATTCAGACTCTCGGTGACCCCAGGTGGCCGAGGAGAGTGCCCAGACCACCAAGCTCCTCTCCCCAGGGAGCACTACCGTGGCACTTCACCATTGCCACCACGGCGCCTTTTCCTGTCTTGCTAGTGAAAACGTTAGGTTTAGTAATGTGTCCTGCCTGCTCTTGAGCACCAAAAAGTCTTTCATTTGTGAATTTTTCTTAAAATGTGACATTTGAAATTCCAAATTTGAAATGTAGTGA